GCCCAAGCAATCCAGACCCTCTGGGTAGGAAACAAAAACCATGTTGTTGATGGTAACCACAAAGCGCTGCATGATTGGATCCGTACCATCGTACTCCTTCATGACCCTGCAACCCTTATCCTAGGTACTTTTGAATACTTGGTGCGTACTAATTCAATTATTCAGGCTTTGTGGTTACTACACTGTAAAATTGGTCCGCACTGGATTAGTAATTTGGGGTTGGTTTTGTCCTGCACTCCGTCATGCCCTCGCTGGGCAGTAAGAGCCCAGGCCGCGGCTCTTTGCCCATCCAAACGGCCCGGTTCAGCCGAGATGCTCCGCAACGGCACTCCTTGCCATCAGGGTTTTGAGTTTAGGGTTAAGGGTATCGGGTTAGGGTTCAGGGTTCTTGCAAAAGTGTTGTTTTTAGATTCTCTCGTTGTTTTATACGCGTTCACTTAAGAGGGCTCAAGAGAACGGACAAAAGGTGGGCTGAACCTGCAGGACAACTATCACTTCAACGCCGGCTAAAGGACTGCTGATGATCGCAAAAACTTCAAGGCGCGACAGGCACGGGAGCAGAAACATATAGCCGCATCACGGAAATGAGGCTCATCCTACAATCCTGGAAAATACGGAAGTTACATACTTATACGTAGACCTCTTGTACATGCTTGGCTTGCTGCAAGGAATCCTTGTCGCGCACAATGCCAGACAGGTCAAGACCCTTGGCGGTGCAGAAGCTGTGGCAAAGTGATGTGTCGAGGGAGTCAGAGCGCATGCTATAGAACGGTAGCCCACTGCGGCAAGGACTGGTTGAGTTCCAATGGATGCAGGTGTCATCGTAAGCATGGGGGCTCTCATGAAGTCCGTCATCAGGCAACAAAGGGAAGCAGCCAAGGCATTCGGGAACGTCCCTCTGCATGTCCTCAAGTTCCCTAGACGTCAAACGTGCATTGTGATCCTTGGTGCCTTCCTCGCAGGATTCTCTTGCTTCGCTTACGCAAAGCATCGTGCTACAGTCACATGCCCTCACGGCGATAGGTCTTTGCAAGCCGGTGCAATCCGAGTCTTCCGCTGGCTGATCGTGCACTGTTCGACATTGCACGCTACGATGCTGCAGCGATACATTGCACTGCGTGATACATTCTCCAAAGGGGCCAGTTGCCCAGGACATGGCCTCCGTCTTCGGCTGGACACCCTGTCGTGTTTGGACCTGCAAATAGAGCGCACCCTTCGTGACTGAGCAGGATGCCTCTGCCCAGACATGTCCTTACTGGGGGTCGGTAGGGAATAG